ACTATAATTATATTTAACTATACCTTTCTTAATCCGTCTGCTACAGAATTAGTATCAGTGGATGGTAATGTATTTTGTAAAAAATTTGCTATATATTGTTCACTATTTTCACAAGTGCTGATTTGTTTTGTTATACTTTTTGGCAATGTTAAACACACACCATCTGCAAATAGTAATAAATATTATTTACATTATAAATAATGATGTTCTCAGTGGCTGTTGGTATAATATTTTATAAATACATACAATTCAATCCTGACATCGTCACAGAAAATGTATTTTGAAAATTAGAATTCAAAATTGAACATTTGCAGAAGTACTGTTTTTATTAGGTTAATCGAGTTTCCAAAACATTCGAGGATACTGTGTGTGTTAGTACAATATATGTATATGTATATTGCATGCAAGAAGCGGTCACATCATTGGAAGACAGGACATCATAGCAAAATGTATAACAAGGTATTCCAAGTTATGTTACTTTCAGTAAATGAGGGGGGGGGGGGTTCCTGAGGTCATTTAATGTATGAACTTAACTTCTTCCTTAACGAAAATGCAATCTACGATTTTGTTTACGAGTTATTAACGAAAAATACTGACTAATGAGAGGTGAGCTCGGCTGGCATAAGGCAGCTGAGTAGCCAATGAGCGCAACTGAGCTTCAGCCGTCCATTGGCTCGGCCATTTTGCGCCAGCCGAACTCGCTTCTCATTGATCAGTGTTTTTCGTTAATAACTCGTATACAAAGTCGGGGATTGCATTTTCGCTAAAGAAAAAGTTACTTCAAACTTCAAGTGACCTCAAGAACTCCTCATTTTCCGGAAGTAACATAATTTTGGAACACCCTATATACATTTTGTTATGATGCATGCATATTCACCCAAAAATTTAAAAATAATGTCTGTTGTACACTTTCTAAACTATATTGTATCTACTTTGTGGCGTTATGTTTTTCGTCATGCCACACGTCAGCACAGTGCGCCCTCTGCTCGTGGACTCGTATTTGTATATATGATGTGGATGGAGGATTGACTTATATAAAAATTATATTAGGTTAATCGTGCAACTTGTAACGTATCAAAATAATTCATCAAAATGGTAAGCACTTATCTATCATTAAATTGAGGTCATTGTCATTTTACGCGAACATTGAAATCTTTCTTCGGCGAGATCGTGTCTGTGCACTTGCCACAGATGTCAATCACCCGCTCATGACTCTTACGCGTATGAATAAGAAATTAAAATCCTACATACGATGAAATAATTCGTTATTGTTTTAGGTACTTATCGCCGCAGCGGTCTGCACTAAAGCAGGCAAAAGTAAGTAATACCTTTCTTTTGTGTGTAATCACAACAGTCCATGTATATCTGTTTCACGTTTCATATTTCTTCACATTCACACATGATCATATTTCTAATTATCAAATAATTATAGACTTATATGCCACTTAACCCATATGAAGGTAATAGAAATAGATGCGTTTGTAAGTCTCGTTTTGTAATATATGCCCAAAATTTCATAAAAGAAGTTTGTTGAATTAGTTGATAATATAATAAATTAATTAAGATATTTCCGTAATCTGCTTATTAGTACAAGTGCTATAGAATTGAATTAGTTCAAGACCAATAGATATGTCATATTTCAAAGAACAACTATTTATGAATTCTTTCTTTTTAAATAGCGTAAAGCATATTTATTAATTTAATGCTATTAGGTCATTCAGGAAGTTCTGCGGTTTTCATAGGAATATATAGGTTCAAGGATATAATCTTTAAATAATGCAAAAATCTACTGGAGGAGTTGGGGAGATGTAAGAAACCATGGAACTGTTTGAGCCTACATGACCTAATACATTTCTATAGTATTAATATAGGGCAGAATTTATATTTCTATATATGTCACTGATTTAAATGCTAATATAAATGTAACAAAATTTCAGCCATTATTTCTCGTCAGTTTGTTGAAATGACAAAAGCCAGGATAGAAGGTTTACTTGCTGCATTTCCAAAGTTAATGAGTTCTGGTAAACAGCATACATTTGTAGAAACAGAATCTGTAAGATATGTTTATCAACCACTGGAAAAAGTGTACATGTTATTAATTACAACAAAAGCTAGCAATATATTAGAAGATTTAGAAACATTGAGACTTTTTGCAAGAGTTGTATGTATATTTTTAAATATAAAATTAATAATTATTTGTCATTTATTTACATATATTAGACATTTAATTAAATTTATAGATTCCAGAATACTGTAATTCAATAGATGAGCTGGAAATAGCTGAGAATGCATTCAATTTGATATTTGCATTTGATGAGATTGTTGCTCTTGGTTATAGAGAAAATGTGAATTTAGCACAGATTAGAACATTTGTAGAAATGGATTCGCATGAAGAAAAAATATATCAAGCAGTAAGAATGACTCAGGAAAGAGAAGCTAGAAATAAAATGCGTGAGAAAGCAAAGGAATTACAGAGGCAAAGAATGGAAGCAAATAAAAAGAGCGGTGTTAAGAATCCTGGCTTTGGTAATTCATTTGGAAGTAGTAGCAATTTCACACCGACTCCTAGTGTAGTGGGAGATACTGCTAACTTTGTACCGGAACCAGTTAGACCTGCATATACACCATCACAGTAAGAAAGGTTATAGTACATTCATAATAATATTCAATAATCTTGTTTTAAAATCATTTTCATTATTCTCAAAGGAAACCAGCTAATGCCGGGCCAGGTGCTATGAAATTGGGAGGAAAGTCTCGTGACGTTGATACTTTCGTTGACCAATTGAAAGAAGAAGGAGAAAATGTTGTGACTACACCTTTATCAACATCAGATGCAAAACCATCAATTGCCCCACAGACAATTCATACAGAACTGTAAAAAATTGCTTGATGTATTTTCAATATTCTGTAATGGTTTGATATATTATGTAAATGTTTTTCTCATTTTAAGAGTTCATCTACGTCAAGAAGAACGACTCAATGTACGAATTGGTAGAGATGGTGGCTTGCAACACTTTGAGCTGCATGGATTGGTCACACTACATATTTCAGATGAGAAATGGGGACGAATTCGTGTACAATTAGAAAATAGCGATTCAAGAGGAATTCAATTACAAACACATCCCAACGTAGACAAGGAACTATTCAGATCGCGTAGCCAAATAGGTCTAAAGATTCCTGCAAAACCATTCCCATTGAATACTGATGTTGGAGTACTAAAGTGGCGTTTACAAGCTCAGGACGAAACAGCGTTACCTATTTCAAGTAAAAATAATTCGATTAAACAAACTGTAACCATATAAATGAATTTCTTTCTACCTGTTTACTTAATCTTATATTATAACATTGTATTACAGTAAACTGTTGGCCTTCTGAAAATGGGGAGGGTGGATGCGACGTCAATATAGAGTATGAATTAGAACAAGTTAATCTTGAACTAAATAATGTACAAATAAACATTCCTCTGCCCATTGGCTGCAATCCCATAGTAAGCGAATGTGATGGGCAATACACACACGAAGCTCGACGAAATACCCTTGTGTGGTCTCTACCAATAGTAGATGCATCTGCAAAATCTGGTTCAATGGAGTTCTCAGCACCTTCTTCTACTCCATCCGATTTTTTCCCCCTTAACATTTCATTTTCGTCGAAGACATCGTACGTCAACATCAAGGTACAACATATTTTACATATTTTTATTATATTTGGATTTTAGAGGATTGATACAATTTGTATCTTTTTTAGGTGACAGAAGTTTTGCTTGTTGAAGATGAAAGTCCTGTAAAACACTCAGTAGAAACAGTTTTCTTTACTGACAACTATGTAGTGGTATAAATACACGGAGAACAAGTTAGCTATTTGTGTTAAATGTGTACAAGATTACCAAGCTAATCGCTGGCCATCGACACTTCAATAATAAATATTTTTTGCTTAATTATCATCGCAATAACAATTTTGTTGCATCGATTTCAAGCACTGTTTTCGTCAATGATGGGGTATACTAAAAGAATACTAAACATTTATAAATACTAGATACCCTATAAAAAAAGAAGTTCCATTTAATACTTGGCTAATGTCAAACCATTAAAGAAAACTGTACATAAATATTTTATAATTGGTAATGAGGAAACGTTGAAAGTCTTTTCACATTTTACAAGTTAATTGTATTGCCTATAAATAAAATTTCAGTTGTAGTAGTTTAAATTTTTAATTCAAGAAATTGTTTTCTTATACATTTTAAAAACCGTTATGATACTTTATCATAAAATAGAAAATTAAATATTAGTGTATGAAAAA